TTGGAACTTCTTAAATAATGCTTCTGATATCAACATTGCCTGTAAAATGTTTTATGACAAGCTATATTCAACTTTTGATATATTTTTGCCTACATACACGCATCAAAAATATTCTTTTAAGTATCCCTCCTGGTATTCACCCAATATTATAGCTTATATTAAGTTAAAATAAAAATATTTTAAATTATACAAAAAATTTAACAATACTTTTTATTATGATCAATTTAAACAAGTTAGATCTAAAGTTAAAGCTGACATTAAAATAACCTACAATTCTTATTTAACTGAATTACAAGGCAAAGTTAAAACTGATTCCAAAAATTTTTGGAGGTATATAAATAATAAACGTACTCAAACTAGAATACCAGGAAAGATGCACTTTTGCGAACACACCTTTGATTCTCCGCTCTCAATTGTGAATGGCTTTTCCTCATATTTTTCTTCTGTTTTTACAAGCGATAATTCAACTGATTCTTATTCAGCTTCTAACATAAATTGTAATTTTCCAGTAATTAACAGTCTCACTGAAGCTGAGGTAATTAGGACAGTTAAGAGATTGGGTGATAAGATGACTTCCGGACATGACCAGATACCAAACTTCCTGGTTAAGGATTGTGCTCACGTGTTGGCTCAACCTCTGGTATATATTTTTAATATAGCTCTTAAATATTTCACTTTTCCAGAAATTTGGAAAATCGCTTTTGTCTGTCCAGTTCTTAAAGGCGGTGATGCGTCCAATATGTCGAACTATCGCCCCATCTCGATACTGTCTAACTTTGCGAAGGTCTTCGAGATGCAGCGTTGCCAATTTGCCAGTAATTACTGGCATTTGCCAGGAATAAAGCTCCTTGCCAGTAATTTTGCCAGGAGAGTTCAAATGCCAGGAATTGGTTAATTTACTATGTTAGTTAAAATACAATAATTATGTGTTATGTGTTCACTTATCGTTTATAATCCTAGAAAGAGCCCATCTTAGATAAGTCATCTAAGATGGCTGGGCCATCATGGCCCATGATGCAAGGAATGTGTTCCTTTAATAATGATCATGGCCCACCTTAAGCTGCGTCCACACTATGCCGATCGGCTTTGCCGGTCGGCAAGGCCGAAGTAGTGTGTACGTGCTTTGGTGCCTTGCCGATCTGGCAGATAATCTCGTTCGGCCGAAAGGCGGTAAACTTCAAAGGAAAACCGTTCAGCTTGTGCCAATAATCTAGTCTGGACGTGTCATGCGGCTTTGGCTTTGGCATTTAGTATGTGGTAGTGTAGCATAGGGTGAAGGTTTAGCTTGTTGTAGTCCACATCCATTTTCTAAGTTTAGAGCATCGACGTCGTCAAATATTAAATCCTGTATTCAATTTTTCCCATAATATTTTACCCTATTTTTTAAGCTTGGACGGACCCAAAATCTTAGTTTTTTTTCAGCGGCGCTTATTCACTGATTCACAGACCGCTTTTGTTTCCACTAAACCTTTTCTGGACAGTGACTATAAGTTTAATTTAAAACACCAACGCTTAAACTACAGCCCTAAATGTTATATATGAAGGACTGAAAGCATCTATAATCCCTATTATAACACTTTTTTCAATATTACGTTTAATAAAAACGCAGATATCTCTATTTTCTTTCATAATATTACTATTATTCGTGTATTCGCACGGCATCTACTCATCAAGTGACGTCCCTGATAAAATTTGATTTTAAGAATCTTCTAAGAAGATATTGCTAAGAATGTTCTTAGGGACTTTTAAAACATTCAATAAATGCAATTAGATTCTTAAAAGCTTCTTATAACCTTCCTAAAAAGCATCCTAAGAACATTTTAAGAATACGTTTTTAGAAGATTTCTTATGGAGCTTCTAGGAAGCTTTTGAGAATATTTCCAAATATGTCAGATGCCCACGTTCTAATATGTTGTATTCTACATTCGTAAAACGGGTAAATACGCCTCACTGTCATAATATGACAGTGAAATGTATTTGTCATCCCCTTAAAAAAATTTGCGACATATTAATATATATTTATTTAAAAATATTTAGCTTAACACGTTAACTACCATGTGTATGAAAAAGTATACACGCGAGTTGGGTCTAGTGCGCCATGTGTATGATTTTGTATACACGCACAATACAATTATTTCAGCTACGTGTATGTGAATAGAGGATGCTGAACATGGGTTGTATATGTTAGAATGGTTGTCGTTACCTGGATGTACACTGGTATTCACTTAGCCAAAATTTGTATTAACAATTTTTAAGATGGCAAACCCTTCATTCAAAAATATATATTGTCAAAAAATGAGCCAAAAATTAATTATTTTTGAAGTCGATGATGAAAATGGAAAAAAGAATTGAATCCATTATTAATGATTTGACAGACAATAATTGTCAATATTTTTATAAAATGTGTATGTATTTCAATTTATACACGTGGCGCAAATGTACATTTTTGCAATCCTACGCCGCGGCGCGCCGCGTGTATGATATAGTCGCACGGGGGTAGAAGGGATCCCTTTTTCGAAAAATAATAAAAAAATGTGCTATTGTATTATAACACCGGCGGCACATTGTGGCCCAGCTGACCCCACTCACGGCAGTTAAAGCTGTGTCCACACTATGCCGACTAACAGTAGCGTGCCGTGGGCCTAAGGGCGGAGGGGGCGAACTTTCTTAAAAACAACATTTTTTTTATTTGATACAAAATTGTCAACTAATTAGGGCGCCAAATTCGGTCTGCGCAGAAAGGCGGGGGGGGGCACGCTACTGCCGACTAAGTCTGTGGCCCAGATGTAAAAAGTGAAATTATCGAACTGGGTTGAAACAATCATCAAATTCTTGTAAAATTACAATTATAATTTAATTATAAAATATGCTAAAAAACAGTAAAACAAGTAACTAATATAAATCATTTGGTGTGAATAAAAAAATTAAAAAATATTTTTTTGTTGTTGAAATGAGCCATTTTGCTAGAAACCTAAAAATTGTAAAAATTAAAATTTCTTTCAATCATTCATAAGCATTCACGTTGCCAGGAATTTCCAGTAATAATGATATTTTTTTGCCAGGAATTTTATTAAGAACTATTAGCACCGCTGTCGAGATGGCCCTGTACTCCACCATTTATCCTTTTATTCGTTATCAACTACCACCGCATCAGCATGGATTTATGGCTGGTCGCTCCATAACTACTAATCTTGTTTATTTTACCCAATATGTTTCCAAAGCACTTGACCAGCGATCTCAATTGATGTGGTTACACGGATTTCTCGAAGGCCTTTGACAGGATTAGTCATTCGCTTATTGTGAACAAACTTAATACTATTGGCTTTGACAATTCATTAACTCAGTTCTTTGCTTCTTATCTCACTAATAGAACTCAATTTGTCTCTTATAATGGGTTTAATTCATTGCCATTTATTAGTAAATCTGGAGTTCCGCAAGGCTCATATTTAGGCCCCCTGCTTTTTCTCATTTTTATTAATGATATTGTTCACAACCTTGACTGTGACAAACTTTTGTTCGCAGATGACTTAAAAATATTTCTTAGAGTGGATGGTGCTGAGAGCTGTAGTATAATTCAAAATAATCTAAACAAAATTAGGCAATGGTGCCATGCCACTAAATTGTATATGAATGCCTCTAAGTGTAAAGTTATGTCATATTACAAAGGCCATAATCTGTTAACATTTAATTATATGTAATAACTCTTTACTAGAACGTTCTGATACTGTCAAAGATCTGGGTGTTTTCTTTGATTATAAATTAACTTTTGATAGGCATATAAGTAATATAACTAATTCTTCCTTAAAAATGTTGGGATTTATTATATTATAATAACTCTTTACTAGAACGTTCTGATACTGTCAAAGATCTGGGTGTTTTCTTTGATTATAAATTAACTTTTGATAGGCATATAAGTAATATAACTAATTCTTCCTTAAAAATGTTGGGATTTATTATAAGGAATTCTGACACATTCAATGATATAAACCCATTAAAAAAATTGTATTATTCGTTTGTTTGTTCAAGGCTCGAATATTGCAGCTTGATTTGGTACCCAATTTACACAACCTACAAAGTTTCATTGGAAAATATTTAAAGACGATTCCTGAAATTTTTAAACTTGGTTTTTATTCTTTCAGAGGTCATCCTCAGGCTGAATTACTTCGGGCCTTTTCAATGGACTCACTTGAATTGCGTATAGTTAAGTTTAGCATAAAATTTGTGTATGACTTGTTTCATAATAATATCGACTGTATGTTGTTATTATCTATGTTTAATCTGTATATTCCCCGTTTAAACTCTAGGACCAAATTAACTTTTAGGGCAGATAATGCCCGTACTAATGTTTTGTTGAAATCCAAGTCCAAGTCATGATGAAAAATATTAACGAAATATCTTCAAAAATTGACATTCGCTAACTTTATTATAATACCTAATAATACCTATAGGTATTAAAAGAAGCTGATTACTTTTACAAAAGTATCATTAATGTGTAAATGTTGTTTTATTTTATGTACATATAAACTTATTGTATATTGTATAATTGTGTTCTTTAATTGGATGTAAATCTGTTGGGCAATAAAGTATTATTATTATTATTATTATTATTATTATTGTCTTAATGGAAACAGTACGATACATGGCAACAGTAGGATACGCAAATATAATTTATTATTCGAATTTTGACAAATAGAACTAAAAATTAAAATAACTCCATTACAATTCTTCTCGTGCAAAAAATGACGTCTTAATTCTTTAATGTACTATTTCTTTATACATACAAAGGATTTATGTATCTGATTTACTTAAATTAAGCGAATTTAACGGTAAAAAAATCAGCAGCTTATTGCGAAACTAGATAATTCAACTGAGGCAAGTAAAATAATAAGGCCATGAAATTTTAAACCAAATTACTAAACTGTGTGCAGGTTTTTTTTACAATAATTGTAAATTTAGGCAACGGTGTCAGGTATTTGTAAATAACATTTACACAATTTAAGGGACCTCCAGGGACTTATGTTTTTGTTGTGCTGGTTTTCTGGCTGGAGGTTTGGTTGGCATTGTAGTTGGATTATCACTTAGAAAGAACGAATCTGTAGTTAGGTATATGCAAGCAATAAAATGCAATCATTATTTGGGTGCTGACGTAAGAGTACAAACATTGGATATTATTGTGACTGATATATTATTTTTAGTCTGCTACAGTGGTAGAAGATGCTATAGCACCATATGAATGTGGTGAAAATGAGGTTCTAGTAAATGTTAAGGCTGGTTCAGTTCAAGTTATAGATGCTCAAGTTTGTTTGGGGTATGGAAGAAATTTAAGACGAATTTTAAGAAGAATTTTTAGGGTAAGAAATTAAAATATTAGGTGCATGATAATATTGCAACCAGTGGCGTGCAACGGTGGTCTCCCCCCGCAAAATTTGAGGTGGGGCCCCATGTTTTCTATATAAATAAATTATTGTACCAGTTTTGAAAAAAAAAACAAAAAAAAGTTTTTTACATCCCAGTTATGTCGAAGGGAAAACGTCAAAACTTGGACCATAAGGGTTAAATTATTAATAACTGGATATTTTAAAATTTTTAGTCCACGTAAATACGCAAAAAATTAATTTATTACTAGGTTATGATAGGTGCCCCTTAAGGTCGGGGCCCCTCGCGCTGCGGCCCCTGCGGGGCCTGTTCTGCATCACTGATTGCAAATGAACTTATATGTGCAGGACCACTCTAAGTTTAATTTTGTTTTAGCAATCAAACTCGGATCTTCCAATAGTCTTAGGTAGAGACTGTTCAGGAATTATATCAGATCTGGGTTGCAATGTAAAAAGGCTCGAGGTAGGGGATGACGTGTGGTTGACTGTACCGTTTTGGTCTCAAGGTTCACTATCTCAAAATGTTTTGGTGGACCAAAATCGAGTATCAAAAAAACCAAAAAATATCGGTTTTGAAGGAGCATGCAGTTTGCCTTATGCTGGATGTTTGGCTCTGGCAGCACTTAATAAAGCCAACCTTAATGTAAAGAATGCACAAGACAAGAAGTAAGTAAAATATTAATTAAATAAAATAATTTGTTTATTTTTGAGCAACAAGCGATTTTGTATGTTTTTTTAAACTTTATAGTTATATTAATTAAAAATACATAATGTATTAATACCAACATTTACGCTGTAATAGGAGCGTAGCATAAGACATAATATTTTTGGCAAATGTTATTGGCTTTGCTTTAAAAATATACATTGTAAACCATTTGTTTGCAAGTGACCCTTTAAAATCTTTAATTATTTTTTTAGTGTAAATCTTGATAAACTTTATTTTTTGAGTAAAATTTGAATGATACTACTATGTTAGTTTTTGGGAGTACATTAAAAAAACATTGAAATAGTAAATAATTATTGAGGTGTAGGAAAGTTATTAAAGTTTGTCCAGTGTAATAATAATCATGGAAAACCTAACATTAAGAGACAACATCAATAGTTAAAGTAGAAACCGTCAATATATGAACGTGACTCATCCGACACATTCGTACGAAGCAATCTATCGAAGGTCACGGTCCAGTGCAGTCTCGTTTGTAAAAAAATTTGAGTGTAATGTTGGTTGCTATACTTATGATATATTTGCTTTTAAATTTAAATAATTAACATCTAACATAATTAACATCTACGATAATTAAATAAAATGTAATTTTCTTAGAAACTAATTAATAAATAAACTTTTCTTTTAACTTTAATGAAATATTCTATCATCTGATTACAGAACGTACACTCGTGGCGACATCTCTGATTTTAATAACAAATTTTTAGACCGACCCAACCTCACTTTCTTCCAATTAAATTCTTAGTATAGTCTGAAACACGTTTGGAATTGCATATTCCCCTCTCGTGAAACCGTCAAACTTGTTACAGAATATAGGTACTATTCTTTTAACTGTAAACGCAAATATTTCAGAATTGGTGACAAAAAACAAAAATGTTTACGCAGGTCAGGTACAAAGTGAAAGATATTTAAATTGTGTGGATATAAAAACAACTTGCGTTAGTTTCACGAAATTTATTAAATATTACACAGTAGCTTCTTCAGAATGTATTAAACTAATACTAGTACAAAATTTATATGTATAATAAAAATATTTTTGTATTCTAGCCTAGAATTTCTAGGTAAGGATTTTTATACGACATCTACCTGTGTTACATAATATAAACCACTGCCACTACAACGTTTAAAACGATTATTAATCCGTAAACACACAGTAGAAACAAGATATGCAAAAACAAAGATCATATGACATATAAAAACAAATGGCCGACGGTAAAGTTGGTTGCCTTACTATGTAATAAAATAAAATAAATTCCTAAAACACGAACTCTACTGACTTCCAATAAAATTAAGTAACAAGCTAGGACACAAGCGTCATATGTCCATCTTTGTCCAACACCTAGGCAGTTTTACATCACATATGGCGCATTTTAGACCGGATGCTTAAAAACCTACGTGTGAGTACATTTACCGCTGCATCGAATGTACAAGACAAGTAAAACATTACTGCTAGCATGTCTGAGATATGTTCGGCACCCGATGAGTCACGTTCATATATTGACGGTTTCTACTGTATTTTTGTAACATCAATTAGAAGTCCTGGAACAGTGAGCAATATTTTGCACATTAAAGATTATTTCCAATAATTTATTGAGTTGATTACTGTTCTGTGCATCAATCGTTATTTTTTATTTTCTTTGTGTAAGTCGGAGTAATGCGCAACACGAAATTTTGGAATATTTTAACAACCCCCGGACTAGTATTAGGCGACTAGCTTAGACCTTAATATTCCCAGGACATGCCGGGGATAAATAACATAAAAGCCAACATTTTTGCATACATTGTATAAAGACGATCAAAGTTTTGCTATTGGATACAGGGAATATCTAAATAGTAAGTCTTTTCAGAATGAAATTTTATTCAGCGAGGAAGCCACATTTATGTAAAAATTGCCCTCACTGCTCAGCTGAGAATCCGGAATTAGTTATAAATGCAAAAAGACAATATTCGCAAAAAATACTGCGGAATACCAAATAATTGGCCCCTTCTTTTTTGAGGGTAATTTAAAAGCGAGTGGGTTCTCAAATTTTCGTGAAAAGCATTAGATGATTAACCATTACAGAATCTTTTAAAGTTTCAGTTAGATATCTAACCATATGAGTGAGTATGAGTATGGCAGGCCCCATCGAAATCGCCTTACACTGATCTCCGAGGGTTATTTTACCCCCTTTCAGTTCTCCTACGTATCTCGTAACTGCACAGCATTACCTGTGTTGGATCCGAATTTTCACGCCGGCTGGTAAATCTTCCTTAGAAGGTCTTGGATAACAATGTCGATGGTTAAGGCCACTCCCGGAATTTTATCGCCGGGCCGAGCCATACGCCCGATTTAGGCTAGTGGATTTCCTGACTGACCCAAAACTAGGTACAATCCGGAGTCCTCCTCAACCAGGGATTTAGTAATAGCCCCATTCAATTGTGGTTCATGAATGGAGGTAGGTGGGTTATTACGCTGCTAGGACCTATCCTTGGTGTACTTCTTGTTCGTCTGTGTCCTTGTCTCTGTCCGAGTCGGATTCCGGTTTCTGGTAACCGCTTTAGAATTGTTTGCCCCTCTGTGAGATACGAATCTTGTCTTCAGTACCGAAGTGTTGCCGGCCACGACACGCTGTAAGTAGGGCCATCTGCCTTCGTGGAAATTCAACCCCTCGTGCCGAGTACCGACTTCATAATATGCAGCTGTTTAGACCGCCTTTATTTAACCTACTGAAAATGGTAACAGATACTCACAAATTATTTACTCCAATGTGCGTAAACTTATTTATCGTTAGTTGCCCTTTGTTTCTCTGCGTTGACTTTTCTGTGTTTAGGTTACTTCGTATTTACGTGCTTGTTTAATTTATTTTAGTTTTGGCCACTTTAAACACTTTTAATTACGCTGTTTTCGGTAATAATTATTGATTATTGCAAGGTTTTTGTTGCAAATTTGCGTATTAGGTCAGCATTTACTTAATACTTATCACATTTTGCAGATAATGGCCCCTTCGAGACTTGGTTAGACTCGTTTCTTCTTTACTTAGGTGATTCCTTGGTGGTTAGTCCGCCAGGTATGCTGTCCCTTGCCATCTAATTACTTCCGTGTCCTTATGCGTATCCGTATCCCTGTATTCACTTGTTAAGAGATTGCTTTTTGAGGCACTAGTCAAATGTTTCTATTAAGACTTTAGAGAATAGGTACACTGATTTTACCTGTACAGGTAGTAAAACTTAGCACTAATTTCGCACAGTATTTTTCTTGAACTACACTGTATATGAGCGATTTTTATGTTTCTTTAAGACTTTTATTGTGGTTATGTACTTAAGAGAGCTCGAGTTCTAACACACGCCTTTCCGTCTGTATTGGAATATGGTTGGTATGGGAAAAATTAAATTAAATTTTCGTTGTCTCATTAATTAAGAGAAGCGCCAAGTATCGAACCCGGTACCTCTCGCATGCAAAGCAGGCGCTCTATCATCGGAGCTACCCAGCTTAATATAAATTTCCTATCGCTCGGAAAATAATGCCGATATACAGTGTGTGGCGTCAAATTATGACGTCAGTCGGAATCGAACTTGGGTCCCGCTTCGTTAAATTTTTCTAGTTCAAAAGTAAAGTAATTCTTGCAAAAAAATTACACAATCCTTAAAATGAATTTTTTACTTCGTTGACCTGTATATTTTAATCAAATAAAAGAAATGTTTTAAATTTTTGATATATTTTAAATATAATAAATTAGTTAAAGTTAATTAATTAATAATTAATTATTTTTTTATATAAAATTTATGCCTTTACAACCCAGATTAAGACCTTACTAATCAAGAAATCAAGTACACTGGGCAACATTCTTACGGCCAAGGATACAATTAAAAGATTCCTCGAAAAACTTCGTTTGTGGTCAACGTCTTTTAAAAAAATGATGATTATGCGTTAAGAACATTATTGGTAGTAAGTTCTCACATCCCTTGCAGACAGAGATTTGAAAGATACCATTAAGTTACTTTCTAGAACTGGTCACTGCTGACAATGGGCATGGGTAGATACTATATCCTTTTTTGGATATGTCAGTACAAGTCACAGACTGTGGTACCAGTAATAGCAATTGTAATTATTGTGTAATGCATTGCAGGATAATTACTGTGTAAGATATTGTTTGATATGTTACAGTGTATGTTGATGATATTTTGCATAGGACTATCTAATTGTGTAGGTTGATGTTATCTCAGAAAAGACTATCTATTATAATACTTTAACGCCTTAATAATGTTAAAGAAAGGATATAAAAATAATAATATTTATAAAAGAATAAATTTTTTTAAGAACTAGCTTTTATTTATAAACTATAAGTAAAAAATATATATACTTAATATTAAGTGTATGAAGTTAAATGGTAAGGCTACAGAAAAACCAAAAATTAAATATTTTCTTAAAAGATTGAGGCTCAAACCGTTTTACACTTGAAATATAAGTCAAAATTAGTTGTATTAAAATATAAATTTAGCTATTTAAGTTTGAAATGAAATAAAAAATAATGAAAATGTAGGATAAATCTGTGACTTGGAATATAATTTGCCAATTTCAGATTGGCTATACTGATTTTAAAATGATCAAATAATTCTAGATTTCCGCGTAGGTTTTTTTATAGTACTCATAAACCGCAAAATATACGGACTTGGGGCATTTTTAAATACAAAGAGCCACACATTTTACTTTAGAGAATGCATTTAACTTAAAAAGACCAAGAATAGACATTCGCCATCTCTATTCCAAGTCACAGAAATATCCAGAAGGGTTAACTAGAAGAGTAGCAGGTATAACCTGAACTTTGCCCATTGATTACACAATTTTTTTTATTGCATATTTGGAATTTACGCAAAAAGTTTGCAAATAAAATTTTTCCCTCGTTTCTCAAACAATATTTGGGAAAGCTACAGCGTTTTGAAAACTAAAAAATTCAAAAAGCTTCGA